TCACTAGCCAGATGGTGAGAAATGTGTTTTTACATATTCATCTGTTAATGCAAAGGTCCCAGTGCAGACATTAACACTCGAAAGCGTTATGTGGATTTGGAACAATCCCTGGAAGAGTTGTGTTCCATAAAAATGATTCTGACAATCTGTGACAGAGATAATCCTGTCCTATTTCCATGCCAGAAGCCTGGCTTCCAATCAAGAAGCCAGATCTAATGAGCCAGACTCACTCCTGTACCCACACCAGTACTGGGGTGCTGCTTCCACCACTCGAGCCACTCTTCACAGCAGCACCCCAGCCCAGTGATTACATTATTACTATTCTTTTAATTTTTGTTCATTATTATTTTAGGTCAGAAAGAAGCAGCAGCAATGACAGGAATGATAAAGTAGTAGAAACAAATCTTGCATTTTTTCAGTTGCAGAGATGAATGATGATGATGATGATGATATATTTGTAGTACAGTAATGCCTAGAAGCCCCATCCGAGATCAGAGCCTCATTGTGCTAGGTACTGTGCAAACATAGTAAGAGACGGTCTCTGCCCTTAAGTCTAAATACAAGGCAGATAAAGGGTGTGGGGGGGAAAACAGAGGTGATTGATCCACCCCACTCTCTGGGTGAGCCAGGAATAAAGCTCACATTTCCCAACTTCCAGCCAGGTGTCTAGTCACTGGACCACATTGGCCAGACACAGTCTACAATGTTTTACAAGTGTTCTCAAACTATGACAATTTAAAAGGTATAAAGAAAGCCTGAACTTTTTTTCTTTAAAGGGAGGAGGAGAAGAAGGGGAGAGAAGAAAGGAGGTTCTGCTTGCTTTCATTATTAGAAATTCAGGTTTAGCCTACATAGTTCTTTTTCAGAAAGACTCTGTGAACAACTTGAGAATAGGCTTATGGTAATGATGTCAGAGACACCAAGTGAGTAAAATCTGGATCCTCCAAGTTTAGAGGCACACCCATATGTCATCACACAGAAGACAAATCCTGTTCCTCTGATAGAATGATGTAGGAGAAATTTGGTATGGGGATCTTTTCAGAGCTTTCCTTCCCCTTAATCTCCTCCTGCAGTTATTACTGCACAAGTGGATATTCTGACTCAAAGGGTCTAATTTCTTAGTAAGGGAGGTACTAAGGGTGACAGAATCAGGCTCTGAGTGCACCAAAAGTCCTAATTAATTTTAATTTTGCATGTCTAGTATAATTGCTGACTAGCCTTCCACTAAAGCTAAATCCTGAAATGGGTGGTTCATCTGTAAGCTTGGGAAAATCTCGTCACACACTGAAGTCACTCGTCTATTTGATTGTTAATTGCCTTTAAGAGTCCTGTTTGGCTAGTCCTACTCAGCAAGTAAGTATCACCAGAGAAAGATAGTAGATTTCCTAAGACATGGGTAGTAGCATAAACAAAGCTATTAAGGAGGATGGGGAAAACATTATCGATAATTTCTGGGGTAACCAGTAGAGGCAAAACAAATTCTGAGGACATGAACTTGGTCATAAACATCCTTTATTGCTCAACTGCTCCACAAGAAAATACAGGGAGAATGGAGAAAAGAAAAGAAATAAAGAAAGAAGGAAGGAGAGGGTATTCTGTGGTGTCTGGGACAAATTACATTATCAAGCAAGGATGTATTTGAATTAAAGGACAATATGTCTTTTGAGAGTATCGTCTCCTGCCTTCTTCCAACCTTCTACTCCAAGAGGAGATGCATAGATTTTTGAGGTCAGAAGAGACTGTCAACATCATCTAGTCTGACCTATATAATATAGACATGACAACATGAGATGAATTTGGACATAATGTGATTTCACTGCTTTACTGGAGATTCCTAAGAGGCAGATTAAAGTCAAAGAAAACCAATGCACATTGGAGGGACTGAATATTTCAGCCACACTCTGTAGTCCCAGTTCAGCAAGGCACTTTAGCATGTGCCTAACTTTAAGTAGGTGGATAGTCCCATTGATTTAAATGGGACTAATTCTGTGCTTAAAGTTAGGCATGTACTTAAGTACCTTGGTGAATCAGTATCTGGACAGGAAAGTGCCCCTTTTTTTTGTAGTCAGGGACCCAATTCATGGTTGCTCTATGACCCTTAACAACAGTTCTGCCAGTGTACGTGAGACATAAAGTCACTGTAACTGATCACTACAGAATGTTCCTGGCACAGGGAAAATTGGATTGAGATTTGGAAGTTCTGATGTTTATTTTGTATGTATTAAAAGTTTAAAAAAACAACCTTGATGTTAAACATGATTTCTGCTTCTGCCAGACATCTCCACTACAAGCTACATATCCAATGATATAGCTCAACAACAGGGATATTCAAAGAATAGTTAATGTGGATAATATAATTATTATGATCACAAATTACAACAACAATCATATTGGTCTTTATGTGGGTGTGTGAGGAAGCAAAATTCCTTCCTGAGCATCCCCAAAGGCAGGGCAGAGAAAAAGACACCCCCAACATGAACGATAACGAAAGGTCGTGGTTCACCCCCTACCTTCTGTGGGCTGGTCTCCATAATGGTGCAAATAAGCCATGTCCCACAAAGACATGTACCAGTGGGAAGTGCTCTACCAGTGCACTGGAAAGCTTGGAGCTTTCAGAGACTGATTTCTGACTCAAAGTCTCTTGAGACAGTGCAGGTCTTCCTCCCCACCCCAATGCAGGTTTTACCTAATTGGCACAAATGGCTTCTAAGTCAAAGGACTTAATTTGAGGGATTGACATAAGGATTTCAAGGTAACAAAGCACAATTAATTTATCCTGTGTGCTAGGTGGCTAAGCCCCCATTTTGAGGTGTTTTGTGCTGCAGTGCCACCACTATTGCTAATGACATTCATCTCGCTAACTTTTTTCCATTTAAAAGTAGACGAAAGCCGTCCTGGCTTTCCCATTACTTTACTGAGACAGGAATGTGGATGAGAGGAGCTGTCTGAAGTTTGATCTGGACAAGACAAAGATAACATGGTGGGTAAAAGGAAACATCCACAGTACTTCTGGGGGTATATGTTTCCCTCTTCTCTTGGTCAAATAGGTTTGCAACTTAAAAGTTCTTTTGGACCATTGTCTGCTTCTGAATTACAGGGTAGAAGTAGTGGCCATAACTCCAGTTACCAAAGCGACTGCAAACTTTCCTTTCAGAAATGGACCTCACTATGAATAGTCAAGTCTTTGTCACTTCCTGGTTGTACTACTGTGATTCACCCTACTTGGGGAAATGCTTGAAGACCACTCTGAAGTGTTGTTACTTAACATAGAATATGTCAGACCACTTGCTTAGAGTTGTGATCTCTGCAAAGCACATTACATCCGTGCTCTGTATGTGGTCTTGACTTCATATTTGCTTTTGAGCACAATTCAAGGTGTTTGTGTAGGCCTCATCTACACTTAAAAATTAGGTCAACCTAGCTATATTGCTCAGGGCTGTGAAAAATGTCATGCTCTGAATGCCGTAGTTATGCTGACCTAACCCCATGTAGATGCAGCTAGGTCAACGGATGAATTCTTCAGTCAACTTAGTGACCACCTCTTTGAGAGGTGGATAAACTACATTGATGGAAAAACCCCTTGCACTGATGTAGGAAGCGTCTATGTTACAAGCGGCATAGCTGCAGAGCTGCTGCTGTAGCACTTGTCATGTAGACATAGCCTCAATCTTTAAAGTCATATTGGCTCGACTGCTGGCTGTTCAAGACACCTCCCCAAATGTATTACCTTGAGAGATGAGATCAGCTAAGTCGCTCATTGACAGTCTCTAAATGTGAACTCTAAGAGATTGGAGATAGAGCATCTTTAGAAAAAACATCTTCAACCCTGGAACTTGTTTCCCTTGTTGATCTGCCAGAGCCTGTTTTTCAACCTTCCAGGCATAGCACAAAGCCCATCTGTTTACTGACAGATGTAGTAGAAGGTAGGTAGGATACATGGGAAATCTCAGAATAGTTTGGGTCTAGTGTTTCTGCGTGTAGTGTCAGTAAATCTGCCTGCAATTTTGTTTTTTAAGAATATGTAGATATGCTCAGGGGCTTGAATGATGGATTTTTGTTTTATATCAGTATTAAACTAGTGATTTTTCCATCAGCATTTTGCTGGAAAAAGCCATTTCAACCAAAACAAAAATGTTCACAAAAGATTTTCGTTTGGGTGAAAAAGGTTAGTTTTTCAATTAAAAGTTTATAAATTAAAAATTCTTTCTATTTTGGTGAGGGGAAAAAAAAGTTTATCTGACTTTTTTTTTACTTTTCAGTCCCTTTTCCAGTGATGGTGGGGAAATAAGTAAAAAGTAGTGTTTTAAAAAATTGCACCGGCAACCTTAATTCTGGAATTCCCTGGCATTTTAGTGCTTGATGTCACCACATTAATGTTCTTTTAATGCAGTTTTGGATGTAATTTCCTAATTTAAAAAACAACCCTGAAAAACTGAAATTCTATCCTGTGGAACCACATATAGTGACCGCCTCCCAACTTGGGTCATCAGCAGGGTTTGGACGGCTAGAGCCACAGCACAGGCTGCTAGGGTTTGCGCTAGGAGAGTGACTGATAGAAGTAGTAGGCTGTTATCCTTTGTGTGATTCACAGCTACTCGCTGCCAGCAGAGGACTCCAGAGACTCTGGACTCCTGGGTTCAAGAGGGGAGTAGTGTCTGGGGTAATAGACCACTCTGCCCCTCTCTCCCCCGCCACTGCCCCGGGGTGACCACGCAGCCACCTCGGGCAGTACCCTCACACCGGGCTCTCTAGGGCCTGGCCCAGCCGGGCGGTCCCCGAGGCGCGGGCTGCACGCGGTCGCGCTCCCACTGCACAGCGCGAGCTGAGGGATCACGGCCAACTCCCGCCTTCCCTCGCGGCCGCCAGAGGACGGGGCTGCGGCGGCTCCTTCCCAGGGGGCGGGCCGTGAATCTCGGTCGCCGGGGCTGGGGCACGTAGCGCGCTGCGGAGCGAGGCGATTGGTCGGCGGCCGTTGCGCGGTGCCGGAGTGGATCGTCTGCACAGGGGCGGCCGCACGCGCCCGCAGCCCGGCCGGGGCCCGCCCCTTCCTTAAAGCCGCAGCCCGGGTAGGAGCCGCAGTGGCGGCAGCAGCAGCGGCCAGTGCCAGGCGCCGTTGGCTGCAGCGCTTCGCCCCGGAGCGCTGACTGGATGCGGCAGAGCCCCTCCCGCTACCCCCAGGCACCAAGCCCCGCCGGAGCCCGCGTCCCTCGCAGCGCAGCAGCCGGCGCCCAGGGCTGGCAGGATGTTTGACAAGACGCGGCTGCCCTTCGTGTTCCTGGATGTGGTCTGCGTGGTGCTGGGTACGTCCCCGGCTGCTTCGGTGCCTTGCTCTGTCTCCTGCCCCGCTTGCTGTCCCCCGGGCTGTGCGGGGCGCGGGGCTTGGCACCCTCCCTGCCGCGGTGTGGGGTGCGCGCCTGGCTGCAGCAGGGCTCCGCTCGGCTCGCGGTGCGGGTCACACGCTAATCACGGGCTGTCCGTCTTCCCCTGGGAGGAGGCTGCTCCAGCTGCCAGCACAGGGGCAGCCTTCTCTGGCTGACTGCTTCCACTGCTCTCCCATCACCTTTCATCCCTTCCCCGCCCGCTCTCTCCTCCCTCCGCACCAGAGCGACTGGGAGCCTCTCTCCTTCCCCTCCCCTTCACCTGGAGAAACCTGGTCGCTGCGACTGCCCCAAATCAGGATGAGCAGCAGCTGGCTAACGCAGTTAATGGCTTTAAACAAGAAGCACGTGTGTAGTCCTACCGCGGTTCGTTACCGGCAGAAGTGAAGCATTGGAGGGGGTTGCCCTCTGATAGAGCTAGTTCCGCTGGAAAGCAGATGGCTTGGGCCATTTTTCTGTAGGTTTTTGAGGTTCACTAGGATTTTGTTCCTTTCTTTACCTAGGTATGTTAATGTAGTTGACGAGCTTGCGACAGTGATGAAGAGGAAATGAGCGTTTATTTCTAGAAGGCTAAGCCTTACTAATTCTGTCTTGTGTCATGTGATGCATTTCTGCTCTCTCAACCTCTTCCAGGTCTCTAACCTTTTTCGGGTTTTTATTTTTCATCTGCTTTGACAGTTAATGAGTAGCAAACCCATTCTGGTTACAGCCCAGGGAACTTCAGTGTATTGTAGGCTTTGTCTTTTGGAGATTTGTTTTTCTTTTCTCCTTGGTTTAGGTAGCCCACTTTCTTCTGCAAAAAATCAACAAGAGGGCTAGTTGGGAAAATGTGTTTTGTTCTTTGTTTTGTGGCATGAAGGATGGGTACACAGTAGTAATGATGCAGTAGATGAAATATACAATAAATCCTTTCCTGCTTAAAATGAATAGGCTTATCCAAAAAGTATTTGTCTTCATCTTAATAGGCTATTGTACAATAAGCCTGGTCTAACAAATCCCTGATGATTAGAGCATCTGGTTGTTGTCCATGTCCTCCACTCTCCAACCCTAGGCACTTGTAAAGGTAACCTCCAATTTACAGAGCTAGTAGTGGGAAAACCACTCTTTAGTAAAAGCTGATCCAAGTAAATGAATGGAATTCTAAGTATAACTCGTAATCTCCGCAGCATGCTCGTGGTGATGTAGCATCTTCTTCCATAAGCAGATGTCAGTATTGGACTTGGTGGAGACTAATAGGAATGTTTAAGGGTTTACAAGTTCTTTCACTACTATTTACTAATGTCTACTGTCTAGCATGCCCCTGCCCTGTCAAAACTGTTAACAGCATTTAGCGTGACTTCCCTGGCATTAGTACCCATCTTTCAATAATAGTGCAGCTGCACTGTTGGTATAAATGGTATAAGGGCTAATGGATGGTTTTAGTGTCATGTCATCAAAACCTTGCCATACTGCTGAGAGGATCACATGTCCGGTCTTTGGTCTGTAGGTGAAAACATCCTTCAGTTGATCCAAAAGACAGATTTTTTTTTAAATGGACCTTAATAAGAAATCATAGTTGTGATCTTGCTGAAAAAGCAATTTCATGTTAACAAAAATAATAAATACAGTGGAATATTTTAATGTCAATTTGGAACAACCCCTCCTTTCATCATTTATATCTAGATCTGCATCTAATGATCACTCACTTTTTGCGGTTTTTTGTTTTTTTTAAAGTATGTATGCATGCAGTGAAGACATTTCCAAAATGGCCACGAGCATGCAATCATCTCATCAGTTTTTAGTGATATACTGCCAAAGCAGTCGAGTCAGATTATAATTGATCTTGATTGGCCAACTTGGAACTGAAGCATTCCCTACCTGCAGCTCCATTAGTCATCATAATACATTGACATCAGTAGGACACTACTTTTGGAAAGCAGATTTGGCTCCATTTAGCCAAATGGCTGCAAGTTGTGATCAGTTACAAAACTTAGAATATTTTTAACAGCCTCGCTATATTAAATTTGATACCTTTTTGTGGCCTTTCAAGCGGTTAAGTCTTCATTTTATATTGGGATTTTTAAATGCCTTCTTAATGGGTCAAGTATTTAGCATTACATGCACATTTTAAATTCAAGACAGTAAAATTTTCTTTAATTTTAAATATGTAAAATATATAAACCCTTCACAGCAAGTTAAAATTAAGGGAAGGTGACCAAAAAAATTACATGAATCTTAGATTTCCAATGATGGATACTATTAAAATTATCTGAGCCTGTTTCTCTGATCTCCCCTTAAGTCTGTCAGCTCAAACTTGGATAGATTAAAAATTCTGTTTTAGTTTTCTCCTCCCCACGATCTCCTTTTTTGATCACTGTGGACAACACTACCATTCTGCTTGGTACTCAGGCCTGGACTTTCTCTCTGACTCAGACATCTCTCTAGGTTCTCTCACTGAAGTTATATCAAAGCCTTGCCGATATTTGTGTATTACATCCCTAAAATATGGCCATTTAAATCCATCCACATAGCTAAACTTCTCATCCTGGCTTTTCTCATATTGATTACTGCAATGTCTCTTTCTTTGGCCTTGATAAATCAATCCTGCTGTGCTCATTTCCATTCAGAATGTTGCTGCAAAGATCATTTTCCTACCCTGTTGTCTTGACTATGTCATTCTTCTCTTTGAAGCCCTCCACTGGCTCGCCTTTTGATAAGAACAGATTTAAAGTTTTTATTAAAGCTAATGTTAAAAAAATTACATAATACATAGGTTGAGAAAAGAGTGTCTGTACATCTGGGTATAGTGCTTAGATTATCCACAAATACAGAGTTTGTTTTTAAAAGTCATATGATACATAGAGTACATAATCCGCAATAACTCAAATTTAGGTGAATAAATTTAAGAATACAGTTTAGATATTAGCATCCAAGTATTCAGGTACATCACTTATGCGAAGTTGTACAGAGATTTGGTTGTGGAAAGCAATATATATCAATGAGTGGAGACTGTCCCTCAGTAAGTGAGAACTAGGGTAGATTGTCCATTTAGGGAATACAATCGATCAGGGAAGTCTTTCAGTTACTTTCCTTACTACGCTTCTCATCGGCACTATAGCATCAAACATAAGCTACTTGTCTTCACTTTCAAGGCCCTTCACAATCTATCCTTACCCTAGGGCCTACCTATTCTCTCTTATTCAATATCTTATCAAAAGGTTGGCACCTACCTCTGACTCACAGCATCATCACCTTTATGCTTTCTCCCATGCTGCCCCTCATGTTTGAGAAGCTTCTTGTAAACATCTGCAAAACTAACTCATTATTCTCTTTCAAAATCCTCCTTAAAATTCTCCTTCACCATGAAGTCTACAGAAAACTTGACAACAGCTAGGTTGTCGATGTGCTGACACCATAGCCTAATCAGTCTGACCAATGCAGTCTCATTGTTTCCTTGTACTTTTCCCCCCATCTGTCTGTATGCATCTGTTGTCTTCTTTGGACTGTAAGCTGTTTGGGGTAGGCACGTTCTTTGTTCTGTATGCAGCAGTTAGCACAGTGGGGTCACAGTCTATGACTGAGGCTCCTAGGCAATACAAATTATTATTAATAGAATGAGCTCCCGCATGGCCCATGAGTGAACACTCCTCTTGCTCGGCAGCAGAATATTCTTATTCTTCGCATTCTTGGACCCCTCTTGAGAAAAGAACACACTTAGGTGCCTTGCTGAATTGGAGTCTGAGTACTGGATAGCTGAGAGTCTCTTCTACAGACGCATCTTCTTTAGCCTAAGCTAATTAACAAGATGGGGGGGGGGGAGAGAATGTGACCAGTGTGTCACATGAAGAGAATTGTTCCACACCTGTAGGCTTAAATGCATTGACAAAACCTGACAGACAAGGTGGGGGAGGTGATATCTTTTATTGGACCGACTTCTGTTAGCGTGAAAGCTTGTGTCTCTCACCTACGTAGAGGTCTTCTTCAGGTCATCTCTAATTCGTTAAGATATGTGGGCTGTACTATTTGTAAAATTAGGGAATGGCTTAGTTTATACATGAAGGGGGCGGGACGGGAATAGACTTTGGTGCTAGATTGTCTGTCTGTCTTGAGTGAGTGAGCAAGTCCCTGGGAAGAGCACCTGATTTTAGTTCAGTGTATTATGGAGAGTGTGGCTTTAGCCTCAGGTCTTCATGAAAGATATTTACACTTCTGAGGGAAAACTCCTGCCTGATATGAAATGCTTCTAGTTCTCCAAACATCCTTGGGTCTCACCTTGTGCTACTCAAATTATCTGTGTGCCTGTGGGACTAAAGATATCCACAGGTCCCCTACTGGAGATTAAGCTTAATGTTTCATGAATGTGACCACTGGGGAGTGTCTGATATAGCAGGGGAAACCCTCCTTAGCAGTGTCATTCAAAACACTTCTAGCTTGATAGATCAGCCAGTCTGGGACCAACCTCAAATTTTGATATGTTGTCATAAAAAAGGTTCTTACACTATGGTGGGGGGGGCGTTTGCTAAGATTTTATATATAAACTTTCTTTTTGGAGTCTTCTACAAAATGATTAGATTAGAATTTCACTGTATCTTAAGTGTCTTTTTTTTTCTCTCCTTTTTTTCCCCTTTCTTTTTCCTATGTTTCCTATACAGTACTGGTCTGCAAGACTGTGGGCAATAACCTATTTTCAAGGTGATTGTACTGTATATCTTTGCTTACAGGGAAATATTTTTTTCTCCTCTAGAAAATACAGGTGGTCTGAACTACAGACTACCTTCTCTTCCTGCACACTCCAGAACACCCCTCTTTTCTAATGGAGAAGTGTGTGGGTGGGTGGGTGGTCCAGGTATCTTGCAGTTGAGCCCTCACTTATATATTAAGATAGTAAGATGCAGTCCTTGCCCCAAAGAATATACAGTGTAATACAAACAAGATGGAGTGAA